ATCTGCTGACGTCACGATCGCGAACAGTGTTATCCTATTGGCAGAGAGCGGCCGGCGTGCCACCGCGGGGCACGCGCTAGCCTATAGGCGGAAAGAAACGTGGCTGGTATGTGTCGTAATTAATGTTGAAACTGTGGCGTTGTCGTCGTTTTCACTGTATACCGAGGTGCATGTAGGTGCCACCGGTATAATATAACGAAAGCAAGCAAAAGTGTCGTCGTTTCGACGCATCGTTCGAGTGGACCACAGATGGACAAGCTGTCGGATGCGTCGGCGAGTTTCGCCTGCCTCAGATACGGCGAATGCACGGCCAGCTCGATTGTCAAGGCGCTGGACAACTTCTTGGTAGCCGTGCAACAGATGAAGGACATCGTGATGGTGCCCAGCCGTCTGCTGGACATGACGTCGACGATCACCGAGGTGCAGCATGAAAGTGGCGGCGACGGATACGCCGCCTTAGTTCCTTTCGTGGACGCGGAAAACGCTGCCAGAGAGTATCCGCTGTTCACCTTCTACCAAATGCTACAGATGATCCGCAACGAGCTGGTCAGTGGTACCAGTTGCGGCGACGGTGACGGCGACGCGACGACCGGCCACGAGCAGTGTCAAGTGGACGAACAGATGCATCGTATGGCGAACGCGTTCCAACAGCATCTGCAAGGTCTGTTCACGATTCTTCGCCAGCTGACCAATACAGCCGTCTACCTCTCGAAGCGTTACCAAGATGACGTCGACAAACGCGACGTACCTCAGTCGTCGTGGTAACGTTTCGTTTTCTTTCAGATGCCGCCTGCCTGCCTGCCTGTGTTATTATGCGAAGGTAAACTCAGTGGCGACTTGTCTTGGCACGCCGCCGCCACAGAAACTTCGTTTGCCCGTCGTTTCGTTACTTGACTCATTTGCTGGTGCGTCGGTCCTCGTCCTCGTTTGCTCGGCATTTGGTGGTCAGCGACTGGAAGCGTTTTTCTACGTCGCTGACGTAGCTGATGCGCGAAAGTAAGGAATTAAAATTTCTATCTCACCAACTGAAGTCATTAATGACATTCTGCTATCGCTAAATAATCTGGCACGTTGATTTGTCGATTAACGTTATTATTCTTAATAAACATACGTCAGAAATAAAACCGTTTTGCCAGGCGTATTGCACTGATGACACTTTTCCCATCTACTAATCCGTATCACACTTTACACTGTATTGTATTCAGGCTGTGCAATCATGCTCGATTGAGGTGAATACAAGAAATGCGATTTTCGGCCTGCCTTCTGTCGAGCAGGGGGTTCTTGCAAGTGGACGTGCGTGCGTTCGGTTCAGTTCAGTAGAAACTTGCTTGCTTCTTTTGCCGTTTACAACTGTGTAAACTTGAGTGCTTTTTAAGTCAGTTCGTTCAGAGACAGAATCAATTTGACGCCGCTTTACTAATTGAATGAGCGGATTTTGACAAGCACCAGATCGTCAGTCGCCATATGCCTGTTAAATGACGTGATCGGCTCATCTCTGAGCTTCGTCGCATCGTGCTCATGCGATCACAGTTGCTAGTGGCACACGTGGCGCGCCAATTTGCCTCTTTTGGCGCATGCCAATGCTGGTCATGAACGGTATTACTCGCACTGAGGCTGCCTGTCGGTCGGTCGGTTCGTCTTGTACGACGTCAACTGGGTCAGCAACTGGGTCAGTGAGCAGTCAAGCAACAGCCATCGCATCGACACACCTGGATCGTGTCGCAAACCGCTTCTTGAACGAAACCAGCAACGCTCATCAAAGCGATTTAGCATTGCACAGTCGGTTACCACTCGACTCGATCCGGTTGCCAAGGGGCTACGGTCGTAGATGGCGCTGAAAGACGGTCAGCGACGAACGATCATCAGGCGCTAAGCCGGCTCTGCTGCGCCGATGGTTTAGTTGGCGCAGTTGAACGGCTAAACGAGGAACAACCAGTAACTCCGTTGGACGACTTTTTGTAGCCACTTGAAAACAACAACCGGTCCGACATATCCGACTCGCCGCCATACGAGTCAGCAGCATTACTGACGAGTACACTGTTCAGTGCACGAAAACGTGCAATTACACAAAATACATGTCGAACAACCGCTGACACTTCGCGTAACATCCTTTTCACTTCGACCGTGTGAACGTCAGCGGAAGCCGTACTAATGCGTTTTGCGATTGTCTTTCCTATCAGACTCATCGAATGAGAGTCACTGAGGCAAACCACCTCCGTTGAATGTGCAAGCATACGTCATAGGTTGTCATTGTCTAATTTTGGTTGATTCTTACTCATGCTTATTTGTTGTCGCATCATTTGTCGTTTTCTTTAAAACTTTGCACATTGATGTTGACAAAACAACTCATAGTTTTGTACTAATTACCGCCATCGCAATCAGAGCTAATAGCTTGTGTCAATCGAGCAATACCGACGATTCCAGTTGCCATGATATTCCACGTTCATCGACCTTAAAACTGCATTCCATTCAGTGTATCGTTCAACGATGTGGAAAATCATCAAATACCTTTAGGTACATGATCACATTGTTTATATTTGGAAAGAAATATCTGCAGAAGCAACGTATATTCGTGTATAAAGCACGAAGGAGAACTGCTCAGGTGGTTTCCTATTAACTATGGAGTTGGCCAGAGGGATGTACTTACATATCTTTGCTATTAAGCATTGTTTTTCACTCTCTCCACCAAAAAAACTGACCCTAACAAAGACTAGGGTATTATTTGAATGAAAGATACAATTAAAGACATTCGACCAGATATTTCGCCAACTTCGAATCACATTAAATTGTACTGATGAATAATGATCCCTAACGGCTACCGTATGCAACAAATTTGCGAAAGTAGGCTTATTGCTTAAGCTGAACAGGTCTGAAAATATCACTGGGAGACGAGACAACATTGGAAGTTACTCTAACAGTGGAGAAATCGGATGCTAGCATTTATTTTCTGTACTTTTGATGATCCACACAATATTATTGCATAACGGATAGTGCCGCTTTGTCACCCGTACGTTGTCTTGGTTACACCTGTATTCAATCGGCATACGTGTATTATGCTGATTAAATTTATGCTGCATTAGTGCCACAGGGAAACATGGCCGCGACGCCATGAATTCATTGAACATGCATCATTTCGGCATTGAACTCCTTGATCATAAATATAGTTTAGGTTTAAGGTTTATAGAAATCAGAGGACTGTCGACCTACATTCGTAAGTCTAACGAAAAAAATAGATTCAGAACGCTTATAGACATATCTGACTGTTCTAAAACCCCTATCTCTCATGTGAAATAAGAAATTATGGAGCAGTTTCAGACATGGCTCATTTCACAAAAAAAATTTAAGAAATGAAACCAGTCTATAGAAAGCTCATGTTTTGTCAGGAAGAATGGTTGATAGTTAAAGCCGGTTTTCGTCACACTTTCGCAAAGGCATGATTAAATGGCAGGTTTCATTTTTGAGGCTACAGTGCGATGATGACCTCCCTCTCGACGTCGTCATCTAAAAGTGCTTTATTTTATCAAATCCATAACTCAAGCACCGTGGAAAGTGTATCGTTCAGTTTTCTGTGTTCTTGCCTCCAAATGAAACTCGTTTGTACTCTTCGGATTTAATAACTGTTCCCCAAGCCAGGATTCGAATCAATAGCGCAATGCTCAAGCGACTGCGTAACAGTGGTCAAATTTGGCAGCCGCTCCTGAAATAGCAACCTAATCTTATATTGAACTCTATGGGTGAAAACAACTGCCCAGCAAAGTTATCCTAACTAGCTTGGAGTGAAGTTCGAAGTGCAGTCACATTTTCAAAGTTCAGGGAGTCATCACACTTATAACGCAAATGCTTCATGAAAGCCGAATTCACGATCTGAAGCACGTTTCCTCCGTTCAAACAAACAACACCTTGCCCATATTCTTGAACTACCGACAATGTGTAGGTACAAATCCTTAGGTACAAAAGATTAATCGTAACGTGATTTATATGTGATTACGAAAATAGAATTTACCTAAGACATATATACGACATAACATCGCAAGTGCAGCAGTTGCAAAGAATCGTGTCGTCTGTCAGAAATACTTCACCATATCACATGATAAAACTTACATCAAACAAAACAATGATAAAGTTGCATCCGTCACCCAGTTTCAATTCATTGAACTGACGTCATGTTATCAAGTCTAAGCACGTATTGATGCCCTAACAAACTAATTGGCCCATATTCGCGAAGATTAGCTTTTGACGTTTTTCCGTCGGATTGCAAGAGAAAATTAAGAATCGAATTGGAAAAATGCAACGGAACGAAGGAGCCATTTTAGTTTCTTTTTTGTACATAATTGTAGGTTGCTTCGTGAATAAAACTTTCGTGACATTGAAAAATCCATTTATTTTGTTATCCTCTAATTTTTCCGCTTTGCGAAAGTCCGGTGAGCATTTTGGATAGACCACAAAGCAATGAACTGGTATATAGACAATAGCAGCTCTGGACCTGCATGTATGTTGACATATTGAGCCATTCAATGGTTTCTTGTGTATTAATGCTAATTTGGTTTGTGCCTGTTTTTGTTTCATGCTGGTTTTCATTCAGTATTTTTTCCGTGTTGCTTGATCATAAGCATACATACTATAGCAAGTCGAAAAATCGAGTCGTTGCGTACGGTCAATAATAGAGTCATGCCGGCGGTAAACTGTGACCACAGTCGCTGACTGCTTTCCGCTGCTTCATAATCGATAAGCGACTAATCATCAGACATCACACTCAGTTTCATCCGTTCAGGCGTTGAAACAGATGACGCTAAAGGCGAGGGTCATGCTCAACTTCCCTCCAATTGTGCAGGTTTTAAACTTGCACTTGCAATTTACTTTTATTGCACTTACAGACTATCTCAAGTCATTAATCACCATTTGAAAGTATAATTTTGTTGCAGACCCGCCAGGCCTACTAAAAGTTATGTATCCATAAACCGGCTATGATAGGGTCGGGTGGAAAAATGCTCATAGGGTCTGGTGGTGAACACGGATTGGCTCTAGCATTCGAAGGACAGAAGCAGGACCAGTCTGTCGTTGAAAAGGACCTAGTGATGGCTCGGATCGTGAGAACCTTACGTCAGACTTGTCCCGGACTTGTGTCGTGTCACCAGATTCTATTAATAGTGAGAAATGCAGCTGTACAATCGACTAACGGCGCGTCCAATCTCCAATTGCCGACCAATCTCCAGTCGGCTGACCGGATGGGTCCTCACCGCAGCAGACCCTCTTGGCCGACTGCTACAATTTTTGCGTCATATTACGCGCAATAATATACATACTTGCATTTATTTATTTTTCACGCCGTATATATACATGTAAAGGCGGCTTTGAGTCTCAAAGAGTTCCACAGGCCGCTTGTCCCTAATCATATACCGAACCCGTACTTGTTTGTGCTTGTTGGTCTGTATTTTAGAAAACCGACAGAAAAATAGTGCCTTGTTGTTGTAATCGTTACGTGGAACCACGTTGCTTGAGTACAACATAAGACCAGATTAGTGCATGATAAACCGGTTAGATGAAAGAAGCGTGACCACAGTAATTTGCAGAGATATTGGGATTTTGTATACTTCAGAGGATGCACATTGGTCCATAGCTATTCGGTGGCAACCGAATATATGAGAATGAATGGTGGGTTAATGCATTCGGCGACTGCAGTGCTATGCACCACATATTACCTGACGCAACATACAACATGGAAGAAGGAAACGAAAAAATTATATCGACTGGAACTACAAGTACCTCTTGACTTTTGAGGTCAACCCTTAAGCAGTTCCCACTAGCTTCCGCGCGCGAACTTTTTTGAGGCATTGAACCTTGTGCTGATTATCAGCTGGAACAAGGCGAAGTACAGCCGCAAGAGATGCTCGCGACGGAAAACATGGTAGCAACTTTCGTCGACTCTGGTATGAATTCCACGCTGTCTACATTATTTAACTTATCAACGATTTCCAATCAGAATCTCTGCTGGCTGCCTTGAAATAAAATCGTAAATTTATTGTGCAATGGACTTAGTTTTGAAAAAAATTTAATAATTTCTCTCAAACCCAGGCTCCTCCGGATTTCAAAGCCCACCTCTCTGTCACTGTATCACTGTACTCAACACAGCTTTACTAGTCAACAACTTATCCCCACACGATTGCTGCCCGTTTCATGTTAAGAGCATATTCTTTAGCACGCATCATGGCTGATCGAAAGCAAACTTGCTATAGTAACGGAATTCTTTGGAGAGGAGTGTAGTCGAACAATGTCTCTAAATTTGATTCACAAGCGAAGGGCAACATCAAGCTATTCCACCTAAATAACCAACTTCTCAGAGGCAAGAAAAAGTGGATAAGGGTATTTAGAAATGCGGACTTAACCTGAAGAATAACTGTCGTGTCAGTTCGCACACATCGGACGAAGCTGTTGATTTTTCTACTGGCAGACATAACCAAGTTGCTAATGCCATTGAAACGGACGAAGTCAGAATCACGGAAAGCAAGAAGCGAGTCATAAACTCTCAACACTCGAATCATGAAAGTGTGACCTTTGTTTTTGTGGGTCTGCCATAGACAGCCGTGGGGTAAGTGCGATTCATCCATAGCACGGAACGGTCAGGCGCCAGAGAGTCGAATCGAACATTGGGCTTCCAAATCCAGCTAACTTAGATGATCCTAGATTTTACTGACGAGAGCGTACGAAGAGATGTTTCCTAACAAGGACTACTTCTACCCCTCAGCGGACCAGTAATGACCGTCTGCTAAGTTTCTTACCACTATGAACAACTTGCGGCTTCCCTAGCAGCTGATATGTCGATGGAACATTTGAAACTGCCCCCCCATCATTTCAGCAACTGTGCATCATTCACAGAATACAGTACATGAAACGTCCTTCTGTCGATATTTGTTTTGCAGCCAGGCAAAACTGAGTGCTGGACGTCCTGAAAATTTTGGAGCCAACCTTGACACTCCAGTCGTTACTAACCGATTTCAAGTATACGACGAAAAGCTTCAAAAGTTCTTCCCAAATCCCTCATCCCTACAGATTATTTCTTTTCCAGCAATGCAAATATCGAAACATTCATGACAACGATTTGAACGGTCTTCTACGAAGATATGTGACGAATGCTAAATTAGCTTTGGAAGCCTGAATGTTCGCCCTCATCTCCTTCTTACCCTTGCAG